TCATCAAACAGACACGTTCAGCCTTAAAGTTGATATTCAGAGAGCCTCGGACAAGTCGGTAACTTAAATATCGTATCTACTATTTAAAACACTACGTACTGTAGTTTTTATGTTAACAACTGTAGTATCTTAACTTGCATTAAATTTAGTTTTAATAGTCCGTTATTTTATTTAGATAAGGTATTAAGATGTTAAATTTGAACGTAAAAAATATTGTTTTCCACATTATCTAATTTTCCACTATCACAAATGGCACAATTGCGTAACAAACACCCAAAAAATACAGGCGAATTGAGAAGCTTTTCACTTCCTTTTGTATTTTTGAAGTCGGTTAAAAACTGATAAAGTTTTCTAATGTAAAGTCAAAATACATATTATGGTAAACATTTTTACGCATTTAATTGTTCTGCAACCATTCATCAAAGTTTTGCATCGTTTTTTTTATATTCACGTTTTCCACTTTGGTTTCAATTAAATTTGACATTACATCTGTAAAAATAAGTAAAAATAAATGAATGATTTAGCAAATGACCTCTCAAAATTCACCTTTTTTCGCGCTATTGATTTACTTAGTGAATCAAGTTGATTTAACAAACTATTCATTAGACTTTATTCGCTTTTGCCCGTTGCAACTTTACAACGTTTAATTTTCGTTGTAAATTTAGTTACTAGCTAACTTGATAGGATACAGGATTTAGCCAAAAAAAAAATGTTTTACCAATAAAAATCTTGATAATGATTTTTATTGCAATTAACGTTCCTAAATCAATCATTGAATAGCAGAAGAGAAAACATTCAAAAACACGCCCAAAATTAGAGAAAAATGCACATATCATCATTTTCATCACAAAGCCTCTCCTTAGAAAGGAGGCTTTTACGGTATACCAACCCGGGTTTATTTCAAGTTTTAATTCGCTTTGCAGTGTTGATGTCCTGCGTAGTATCCTCCCCTGGTCGGCTCCTACGACACTCATGCGATCTCTGCGACTCTTATGACACTTCGTATTTTTATCCGACACTACACGGGCACGCATGTTTCTTAATAAATTTACTTATTGGAACGAAGTTCCTTATCGCGCATTACACGCTCTGAGCGGATGGGCGCTTGACCGTAAAATGTGTAACAAGACTTTTTTTTAGACACTAATTGTTATAGTACTTACGCACTTGCTTAGATCTTTTAAACTAAACAACGGATTTTAATGCGGTTTTCACCTATAGAGAGAATGATTCAAGGGGTTTATATGTATAATACATGCATATTATGGTAGAGTAAATACTAACTTTTAAACTTTCGCGTTCCATGATAATTAATATTATTTAACGGGAATTATATACCTGACTGACTGGCCTGGCTGACTCAGCCTGTGACCACGGCCGGTGCAACCTGGTCGAAACGTCAGGCAAACCAAAGGTATGTAATACCCTAAATAAGAGATCGCGTTAATTCCCGTTAAATAATATTAATGGTAGAGTAAAACCAAGAATTTCAAAGATTTGTGAGAAAGACATGTTTTTGTGCGCTTACATTGCAAACGCTGGCTAAACCTTACGAGATAGATCAAAATAATGTACTACGGAATTGTAATTTGTGCAAAGTGATATGACTGGTAGTTTTTTCAAAAATATCGTAAATATCGATATATTTGAAGTTAAAATTCCCAGAACAGTCATGCGGAGGGAGGTTCGCCCACATCGTCTCTTAGCGATTATGCCTAATCATGTTCCTAAAACAAACTTAGGCTTAAGAACACCTCTACGACGACTTGTAGACAATTACAATACCTATTTTAACAGTACGGATATCTTCATGCGTTCAGCAATCAAATATAAAAAATTGTAATAGGATCCTTGAATCATATGACTGCTTCCAGGTCGGATCCCGAATTTCCATAATTATTTATTATTTTAATTTATGTCTAATTTATACATATATCGCATGTCTACATTTTTATTGTGCAAATTACTAATCATTTAGGTATATCTATAAAAAGTATTTCATTCTATTATTATTATGTTAATCACGTAGCATGCACCATTTTATTATAAAATTGTGCATAGTAATAAGTGGATAATGTTGTTGGTAGTGAAATTAGCACATTCGTACTTAATAATAATATTTACTATTATTGAATATTATTGTTTGTTATCCCAAATAAATAAATCACAAAGCGAAAGGAACTTCGTGCCGACCAGGGGTCCATAGACTCCACACGCCTTTATATTTCGAAATAAATACACAACATATTGTAACAATTAATCTAAATTGCTAATTTTAGGTAGATAGGAACATAACCATTAGTATTTAGTTAGAAAGAAAAAAATTAACTTAATACATAGAAATTTCTAACCCAAGTTAACATAAATACATGGATTATGTTTGTGTAGGTTTTTAAGTCTTGCTTAATTTTTTTGTGGTTTTTGGACACTAGTAAATAATGTAAAAAATAATGATATCCTACAAGCTGGTACTATTAACTTAGTTGGATTTTATATACCGAGAATTGTATTATCACAATTCTTTCGAGTATTTTTAACCTGGGTGCATCTTAGAAATATACAATCCTTCGGGTGTTAGTGTATCTGTATGAGTCTAATGGGCCTACATCACACGCTAAACGTATGCGTTGTCCTATGACAATTTAACTCCTTATTTGTATCCATTTCAATCGAATTTCCTTACAGTGGGTAATATCTTAACACAGATTCTACCTATACATAGTGAATGTTGCGTTGTAAGCGTGCGCGTCAGCAATGTAAATTGTGGAGGGCATATATAAATTTGTTTAGTTTGATGCACACATTTTGACGGGAAATTTATAGTTATAGTGCTGTTTTATTTAAATTAAATTATCCTGAAAATTCGGTTTCCGCTACTTTGTCCAGATCTTTACAATGAGTAAAGATTTTTAATGGTTCGAGAGCAGTTTTATAATCAGAAAATGAATCAATTTAGTTTTTTATAATATATTTGCAGAGAGATAATTTAGAGTATTTTTTTTTTGACATTATAGTCCATAATAACTATATTTGATGTGTAATACTTTGGTATCAGCATCGAAAAGTGGTTAACAAAAAGTGGGTATCACTTTTTGTGAAGTCACATACCTCCGTCACATTGTTAACACATGGTTCTTATGATATGCACGTTGATATTAACCATGAACGTTGCATTGCAGATAAGATTAACATTATAGGTACTCATAATTTTGCGTCGATCTTACTTTTAGTTAAGGCCATGAAGCCATACGCTACTATGTATTCTCACAAAATCTAAAATTAATACAAAACATAAGAAAATGGCATATAGTTTTACTAATTATATAATACCTTTTAAACGAAAGCATATATGTTTTAATATATTTCGACGAACAATTGGTGCCCAGGCGTGGGCAATGGCGACAATCACAACTCAGCGAGTTCTCAAATCAGTATTATGCGCAGGAGTGGGTGGTCACAGCAGCGTTAGCGCCTATCTACGTACGTCACTTACACCATAAAAAGCTGACAAAATGCTAATAGTTATAATGCTAAACTTACGTTAATATATTTATAGTTTAATGATAATGTTTTCTTGAAATAAATAAGAGTACACAATACAGTACATCTCACAGTAACTTGTTTCCGGTTATTGTTTTGGCTATCAACACCTTAGGTAATATACCAGTAAAATAAAACATGCCATTTGTTTTATTTCATTCATTAGCTTCAAATTCAGAAATCAATCAAATCAAAATCAATCAATTCAAAATTTTGCAAACTTGTTAAAGACGATGACAACACAATATTTTAATAAGTTTCAAAAAGGAAAATACAGTGATTGAGAAAAAAATAATATCGTAACAAACATGGGGTGTTTTTTAAGATATTTATAAAATTGTTTTTGATTGATTTTCATTATGGAGTCAAATTATTTAAAAAAAAAACAGACTTGGCTATTAGTAGCGCAAAGTTTTAAGATTTCTCTTAAAACTCAGTAACCTGTAATAAAATTATGTGAAATTGTACTGATTAGTGAAAAAATTATTAGAGTAAATACTCTAATAATTGTTTGAATTCACTCTTCGAGTCAAGATGTAAAAAATCTTTTTAAGTGTCACGTGTGAGACTGTTAGGACAGGAAATAATTACTGACTAATTGTTACTAAATAAATCTTGCACAAATGACACTAATGATCAGCATCATTAAATATAACAGGTGCGATATGTTCCGTATTCTTATGAAATGTTTTAATGGTGATCCCATTAAAACATTTATATGAAACATTAAAACATGTTATATTTTAATGAATTGCCAAAATATACTCAATTGACAATAATTTAATAAAATCAATAAACTTTAAATAAGCCAATAAATATTGTACATACAAACAAAATAGACTGATAGTAATTGTAGTTTTTTTTTTAAATATCAATATACCTGCTTACTAAAATACGAATATTTTACGATTACATTCCCAATTAGGGTTTCCGTCAGGCAAGTGGCTGGTCATAAAAGAAGAAACCAAAACCATTTCGCAGTGAAATGAAGGAGTGCGTGAAAAATATGTCGAGTCATTGCACGGACCCCAAATAAATTTGGAAAAAGGGCAGGAAGATGATACAATATTTTACATAATGCCCTGAGAAATCGAAAGTTTTCTTTTTGATGAGTATGATTTGTGATCATAAAAGCTACATTTCCATTAATTACCTCTACAGTAGATAAATAAGATCCATAAACCTAAAAATAAAGAGGCGAATTAATTCCATTCCACAAAGAATTTGTTTAAATCAATTGTCTCTTGCCATAAGTTAGTGCAAAGGCTATTGAGTCAGAACGCTATTTTGTATCGCCCCATCATCGAGTAGCGTAGCGTTGGCGAGCTTTCCAGAAGGGCGCAGCCTGACCGCGCGTCTCTATAAATACGTGGGTTCAGCTTTCAGGAGTTCAGTCTAGCGGTGCTTTGTACGGCGTACCAACTCCACTCCACTCAGCCGCCACACACACAACACACAACATGTCTCTGGAACGTCAAGTCCGTGCCAAGGTCAGCATATTTCACACCTATTTTAAAAACATATGAATATTATTTCTAAAGTTAATATAGCTAATTCTCTCAAAAACATATCACAGTGTGAGTGTTTTTTTTACAACTGAAACGAAATTAAAAAGTTTAGAGAGTACACATAAAGAGTTTGAAGGCAAAAATTTCAGAAATGCAGTGTTACCACAAATGTCCGATAATATTTAAACGGGTGTTTTTTAGTACTGTTTAATTTATTACTAACATGAAACTGAAATACAAAATGGGTGTTGCGTCTTGGGCATTATTAAAGGCATTATTTTTTATTTTTGTTCACGAAATTATTAATCATACATTTTTTTTAAACAGTTGGCTTCAAAGCGCAATGTTGACCAGGAGAAAGAAGCCCAGGAATGGATTGAAACCATTCTTGGTGCCAAGTTCCCCCCCGGTGAAGCTTACGAAGATGTACTTAAAGACGGCACTGTTCTTTGCCAACTCATCAATAAACTGAAGCCTGGCTCCGTTCCTAAAATCAACACCTCCGGTGGACAGTTTAAGATGATGGAGAACATCACCAAGTAAGTAATTGATCTAACTTTTCTTCTTTTTCATACATTGATTTATATAAATGCAATATATGAAATTCATATAGGGAATTCAAATGTAGAAATGTATGAATCTAAAAAAGTTTAATTGCAAAAGTAAGTTAAAAAAAAGTATTTGCAAAAAAAAACACGATGTTTATTTAGTAATTTACTAAAGTACATTTGTTTACCGTAAATAGGTATGTTTAAAAATATTATAACTTTTTAATTGAAAACTAAAACTTAACGCGTATGGCTTAATAATAAATAGATATGCCTTCAAATTGTTTGTGCCCGAAGGTTCTTGAATTGATAATGATCAAAGTCAATCGAATCGACAACGGATATCGGTACAAAATAATAATAAAAAGAAAATTAATACATTGGTTTTAATGGATTTTTTTTAATTTTCAGCTTCCAAGGGGCCATAAAAGCGTACGGTGTCCCCGATATCGATGTGTTCCAGACCGTTGATTTGTGGGAGAAGAAAGACATCGCTCAGGTCACCAACACACTATTCGCTCTCGGCCGCGAGGTGAGGATACCCAAATTTAGAATACTAAAATTATATAAACAGAGTATTATACAGAGACTACGCCCGACTTATATTAAACCTCATTAATTCTCAAATCGTCATTAATATCAGATTAGTCTACTTATTATTTTAGCCTTGATAAAACAAGCAGTATGATATACCAACATGTAGTTTTACTCCATTATAAAGACGTATTTTAACATACAATCTAAAATCATACATCATCACATCAACAGCCTTTAAGTGTCCACTGCTGGACATAGGTCTCTCCTTAGAAAGGAAGTTTTGGCCTGATACATACAATTTATAAACTCCTAAAAATAGCACAAGTTCTTACGTAATTACTCGTTACTTCAAAGCTTTATAAACATTACAATTTTATCGGAACGTATTTACCATTAAATAAATGCCTGTGTTTATAGATTTATGCGCACCGTTTATATTATACAATCAAACTCAACAAAACAGAGTTTAGAATCGGCCCAAGCATCAAATTAAATAATATGTTCGCAGATTGTTTGGTTTAAGATTCGTTTAGAATTTAAGGAATTGGCGCGATGCCAAGTTCAACAAAATTTTACGAACATCTTGCAACATTACCTCAGTTTTCATAAATGTCCAAGGTCACGTTGTTTAGTTGAAGTTGAGTGAGAAATATTCGATACTGGCCTCAACTCAGGTATACAGAATAGTTTTTTGAATGTCAATTACTTTGAAATTTTGAGATTTTTGAGTGATATAAGAATTTTAAGCGTTTAGCTTGTTGAAAACATAATTTTAAAGGGATTGTAATAAAAAAAAAGTTTTAACTTTGAACATGACATAAAATGACACCTGTACATATATACGTAAGGGAATTACGGCATATACGTAGTCGTCATAGGTAGATAGACATACCTTCCAATTGCCTGAGGTTTCGATTAAGAAGGCACTGAACTCTGAACGTGCCTACCTAATTCCTATGCATATACGAAATTACAGATCTGTATTGTTTGTAAAACTTTTTTCTCTACTTATTCTAAACAATAATTGAAATTATGTTCAATTATCTAATTATTTTCTAATAACCATACTTCTCTACTTTATTAAATTTAGAACCTAATTATTAATATAATTTATTGTTTGGCAGACCTACAGGCATTCTGAGTGGAGCGGCCCGTACCTTGGCCCCAAGCCCTCTGAGGAGTGCAAGCGGGAATTCTCTGATGAAGTCCTGCAGGCCGGTAAGACCGTCATCGGTCTTCAGGCTGGATCCAACAAGGGCGCTACCCAGGCAGGCCAAAACATGGGTGCTGGTCGCAAGATCCTGCTCGGCAAGTGAGCATCACGCCACCCTCAAAGTGATATTATTTATTAAGATATTTTTGTACAAAACCTATAAAACTATGGATGCTTATGTGGGACTGGTAGCCATTATGAATATCTAGTCATACGTGCCATAAATACGTCTACTGTCGCAATTTAGTACCTTGTAATGTATGTAGTATACTTTGGAATAATTGTTATACACTCCATAGAGCGTCAATGATTTTGTACATAAGTGCTTAGGATTAAGTTATATTTTATATTTATTTATTTCCATTTTATCATATAATTTCATAATAAAATATGCCGAGAAAAAATATTTTTCTACCAATATGGTGTATATTGGTCAAAACTGTCACAACCTTTTTCACAAAATTTTACTATTAAATTAAATTAATAACAGTTGCATCATGCATCATGCGCATGCACTAGTGAACATGAACTTATTTTTATTATTTTACGTTATTTAGATAATGAGTAATGTCCTCTTTATGTATCTAACAGTTCATACACATGCATTTATTTATTTATCAGGTTCACCAACATCTAACAAAATTATTAAATATAATTAAAAAAAATATATAACTATAGCGTAACAGACCCTTATAGGCAAAAACCTCTTTCCATTGCTTTATTACAATACAAATTAACTAACTTATGTATAATATAGTCCGTGTGGTGACGGATTAAGAATACGGAGTGTCACCACCCCTATTCATCCCGTGGGTGTCGTAAGAGCTGACTACGGGAGCAAACTACTCAGGACAATAGCACTTCATAGAGAGGGAAAACTTGAAACAAACCGTATACCAACCCGTCTAGCCAGCGTGGTATAGTAGGGCAAAACCTCCCTTCTAAGGAGAGGCCTATGACCAGCAGTGGACTATTGAAGGCTGTTGATGATGATGATGAACCTATAATATATATAATTGATACACATGATATTACATAATTACAAGAAAGTTAACAAACCAAATAATAAAAAAGAATTCAAATACACTACACCGTACGCATACCATTTAAAATTGATCATCCCGGTAAGTTGTTCATTGTCATGACCTTCTGTTTAGATACGGAGTAAGCATTTATAATTGAATTAGGGGTTATGAGAGGCATATGAAAAATCAGTAAACAGATGAAGTATACCCAACGAAACTAAATCCCAAAGGAATGGATAATATTAATTATTTTATTTTGACCAACCTAATATAATGTTAGAAACAATTTACTTAATATTAGTGTTAGTAAACATATTGTGTTTGGAGTTTCATCCAATGACATAGCATTGGAGACTCCTAATCCAGCGTTCCCAATTTGTAACCCTAAACCTTGTAATAAATACAATCGAGTGATTGACAGAGGGTAGCGTGAGACCGAATCCGCGAGCGCGAGATGGTTCAAAGTCGTTCTTGGATCTGGTAGCCTTTGTTACATATGATTTAGAGTGTTACTAGATCCATACCCTGTCGGTTAATAGTTCGTTATAAGTTCGGTAATGGAGACTGATCTTTTGTTCCTTCAGGTATAATTATTACAGGCAAGTCTTTATATCTGAGACACAGATGACCCATAACCGGGACCGCTAATGCACATTAATGCACCATTCCAATGCCTCGGGATATTGTGAGACAGTACAAGTAAAAATAATAGTTTTAAAAAATAACACGCTTTTGTAACTAAACGAACTAAAAAGTAGAAAAAAAATTGGTAAGTTGCACAAACAAGATACTAGCGTGTTTTTAGATATGGAAAATTCGGGATTTTAGGATAATCGGACAAACTTATTCAATTGTCATCCGCCTTTGTCAGTGTGTGAAGTGTTAATTCAATCCGACGTTTTGAAGCGAGTGAAAATCACATTCAAAGATTCGTTACACACACCCAGTTGAAACTAATACAAATGTGTTAAAAACGTTCGCAGATAGCATAACACGTCTACTAATCGCATGTGTCAACCCCTCATGTTACTACCTCCAAAAATGGCAAGGTACAGCAAATTTTGTTATAAATGATTCCAAGTACCTACCTAAATTTTTGAAGCTAGCAACTAGGTTGGCGTTTTATCACACTAGGTTTATAAAAATAGAAAAGTTATTAAATGTAACAAAATCCTGACTATTTTTAAAATCAGCTCAGCTCGCATAAATACCCTGCCTCGCCGTTATAAATGTATGTAACGCCGCTATAACGAAAATAGCTCGCCATCTGTTGGCTACGGCTACCAATTGCGTGCTCCGGATAATAACAACTAACTAAAATAACGACAAACCAGTGTTGTAACGGATAGCGACCCTAATAATGGTTGTTCCTTCTCGAATACGTTAGCTGGTATCAATAGATTGCGAAGCTACGAAGGCTCAGTCGGGCGGCGGCAGCGTAGCCTTCCGCATTGCTTCTGGCCTCCCAGATGGCGCCACCATTTAAAAGTATTTAATTATTTCTCTAATACTTCGTTAGATGGAGCTGTTCACTTAAAAGGCTGTGAAAACTTGGGTGCTTTACAATGCTGACACTAGATTGCGTTAGTAAGGGCAATAAAACTGTGAGTATCTTTATTTTAAGTACCTACATATTTCACTCTCCTTATTTTTATTTGCATATAACAAGAATATTTAAAAAACTCGTGTTGAGTAAGTGTATATCTAGATTAGTCTTTAGAAGAAAGTTATAATAATTTAACTGTACAATTTTAAATTTAAAGTTGTTTTTAGGTACTTATTTATTTTTATAAATCTTTTCCTTTCATTGGACATATTTCTGAATAAAAACACGTGTTAATCACGACTAATAATACAGTGGATACGAAAAAAATCGATTTTAAAAAAGCCTGTTTGGAAACTGTATCGTAAGAAATGCTTAATACAAGTTTCCAGAGGTGGTATCATTTCGGTAGAGCCAACCCATCTGTGCCGAAGCATGGCTCTCCCGGTATTATTTTATTATCTTATGTATTGCACGACTGCATTATACGACTGCACGTATGCCGTTTGGTTTAAGCGGTCTGAATGTTGTGGATTCGATCCCCACATATGACACTTGATCCACAAATTGTCGTTCTAAGTCTGGGTGTTCTTTGTTCCCGTTTCATATATGTTTGTAAAGTGCCCCGCGATACATGATATATTCCCGGCGAGGGGGTTGTCTTCTTAAAAAAAATCTTATATATTATAAGTTATTTAGTTTATAGATCAGTTATAACCTACTACTTACTGTTTTCTAGAACGTAAACTACTCTAAACTATTCTTACAATGACAATTCAAGTTGCAAAACGATCTAAATTCGACCTCAATCGTACCTACAAATGGCAATGAAATGAGTTCATGTTCGAATTGTCTTGGGATAATTACCTTTTATCATTATACCTACATATTGCCCTTGCAATAACTTTCTCTTCTATTACGGTGTTTTACCTTTCATCAACTGAAGCTCGGATTCACAACTAGAATATCTTAAAATGACTATTAGACTGAGCTATTGAAAAACTTTTGACCTTAGCCTTAGCCGCCTTTTAAAAACAGAGATAGGGGAAAATGGGTAATAGGAGTCACTTCATCATCATCATCATCATCATCATCAGCCTATCGCAGTCCACTGCTGGACATAGGCCTCTCCCATTGCACTTAAGCAAGAATTAATATAAAACACAAAATATGTATTTAAACTTTATGAAAATCAACTATTGTTATACTATCCGCTTCAGATGGTTTTGTTACCTTTGGAATTACATATTAATAGCTATTAAATTTAAAAAAAAATATCTTTGACCACCATTGCCCACATCAGAGGTTAATTATTACTCACTAAGGGGATAATGAGAGTCAATCTATATTAACAATTGTTTGCGCTACTAGATTACTGCGACCGAAGGGTGATGGTCGCAATGAGTGACGAGACCCGTCTTGGGTGAGACGGGTCAATGCCTGTGGGGGGTGGCGGATGAATGCAATTGTGATTCTCATCGTTGTCATAATATTGACTTAAATATTACGTAAATAAAATTATGTCCGATCCCTATCATATGTGTGACGTTAGTTACTTTCTTTTTTCGACCCTTTTCATTTCGAAATCGTAACGAACTTTTTGATTTATTCGTTATTAGTAGAATGGAATGGAGATTATTTACAGCCTAAGCCTAAGAATAAAATAAATAAAAAAATACCTTTAATAACTAGTGAAACATTCTCTTTAATAAAATAATATAGTACATTTATATTCTTATTAAAACTAGACGAACAACTTCCAATAGAATAGGCATTATTCCGCAGGGACTTCTCGGTACTAGACCACATCCATACTGTTAAATTAAATTATAGAAAAATACGCTGAATACCAGCTTAAATACTACATAGCTTTCGTTGACTACGGTAAAGCTTTCTATTCTCTGATACATTCAAAAATCTGGGAAGCCTTAAAAAAATCGGGTATAGAGCACAAATATATAAGAATTATAAGAAATATTTATAGACAAAGCTCGCCTTGTATCCGACTGGAAAAGGAAGGAAATATGTTCTAAATACAAAAGGGCATGAGACTGGGTGACCACCTTTCACCGGCACTTTTTATTGGAAATGATCTTCAGGAATCTGGAATGGAGAGACATGGTCATAAATATTAATGGCCGCATGCTAACGCACTTAAGATTCGCTGACGATATTGTATTGCTAGCAGAAACACCAGATGATCTAAGCAATATGATAAATGACCTAGCATCAGAAAGTGCAAAGGCCGGTTTGAAGTTGAACCCGGAGAAAACATAAATCATAACCAATGGCAACGAAGATGCTGTACCAGTGGAACAGACTCAAATCACCTACACTGACGAATACATATACCTCGGTCAACTGATGTCTCCGGAAGACAACGAAAACGAAGAAGTGAAGAGAAGAATTGCGAATGGTTGGAAGAAATACTGGGGCCTAAAAGAAACAATGAAGGACAAGAACCTACACATATCAACAAAAAGCAAAATATTTAACACATGCATCCTGGCTGTATTGGTATATGGCAGCGAAAAA